TCGAAGGAAACCAGGCCGGAGTACACTACATTTTCTTTGATGACGTCGAGTGATCTCGAAAAGAATCACGAAGATGTTTTTCATAGGATAGAAGGATACTTGAAAGACGCCAAGATTTTTAAGCACGATGGTAATGCGCGGCACACGTTGGAGAATCTGTTATTAAAATTATAATTGAAAGTTAGTGAGAGAATCCGGTGATTAACATAATTTTTAATTTGCAGGCGATGTGTACATAGTTCTGGCGATATATTATGATAAAACACGCGCGACACATCGCGTAAATTCCTTGCTTTATCGAGTGCATAATACGACAAACGCAACATTAATCCAGGAAATTCCTACGGACGGTGCTTGGTCCATCCAGATTTTTAAAATCGATCATCACGAGGTATTTCTTCTCATCGGTTGTTTCGGCGAGTCTTCGGAATCTTCGTTGTACAGATTTGATCCAGCAACACGAAAGGTACGATAATTAGATAGTCAAGAATATGATTGACATTACAGCCCTCTTTGTAAAATATATAAAAAGTTAACTTATATAAACATATAGGTATAAATATATTATATAAATATATAATATAAAAACAATATATAGAATATAAAAGTCAATAAAAAAATATAAAGTTTATGCAAAAGTTAACTTCATCCTTTTTCGTAAAATAACAATTTTTTTATTTCTTCGAACGCAGTTCGAACAATTGAGGACGTTCGCGAGCAGAAGCCGTTACGTGAAGAGTCTATCGCAGGGAAAGGATCATTTCGTTCTGCTGGACAATCCTGATACGAACGCCGTGAACATTTACAAATACGACCCCGAGTCTCGAAACTTTCATAGTTATCAAAGCATTTTCTATATTCATCAGATTAATGGGATTGAGTGCTTCTACACCGATGGTATGATTAAGTCGAAATGATAAATTAAAATTACTAGAAGACACATATCACGTGTATTTATATCACATTCCTGCAAAGATCGCAATTTGAAATCTACGATTATTATCGCAATTAAGGACTTTATTCGTGATTTATTTGTGACAACGCATAAACTTATTTTCTTCTACAGATTTTGGCAACAGCGATGTGTTTGTGATTGTTACGACGGAGAGTGGACGGTTTTATATTTACGAATATATGTTTGCCGGGGTAAATCTACTTTCTTTACGTTTCTTTCTCTACTATCTTTCTCCACGTTTCTTATTAATAAAAAGAATAAATTCTCTCTCTCGAATTTCACCCTTATGAGAAAAAATTT